GAGTTTGTGGCACGAGCACGACCCAAGAGAAACCTCCAACGCAGTTCAAGGCAACGAATGCAGGGAAACTGCGAGCACAGACGCAGAGGGCGGGCGCCTCTCACCGCATTCGCCACCACACGCTGCCTCACACTACTCCACACAGGCACACACTGACAGATGCGCGCCACTGAATAGGCGAACACGCACCGACGCCGCCCTTGCCGCGACGGTGACAGCAGGTGCGGTCCTTCGCCGCAGCAGAAGCCTCCGAACCGTGGCAGGGAAAAGACGCCCGCGGTGGTCGAGGACGCTTCTTCTTCTTCAGTGCTGCCTCACAAGCTCCCAAAGGAAGTTTCTAGAAGCCCATTGATCCAGAGAAGTAAAGGATGAAAGCGGCCCTCTATTATCAACGCAGCGTCCAATAGAAAAAAAAACTCCGGCAGAACCTTCCAAGACGAGGAGGCAGAATGAAACGCACTCGGATAACGCTTCACACGCTGGTAGCATCCAAGAGGCACACATCTCCTCGTCGCGGCCCCATTTTGGGCGTCGCGGAAGAAGGGCTTTAGATGCGCCATTGGGGCGGCGAAGATCTCACCTCAAGCTGCGGCGCCAGTTGCGTTGGGCACATGCCAAAAGGAACATCACTTACTTCCTCCCCCGAAGAGCAACGAGAAGGGAAAAGAAAAACAAACAATAATAATAATAATGGGAAGCGCAGCCAAAGTGGGGGGTGACTGCGTTTATATAACTCGTGCGTGGGCCCGTTGCACGCGCCAAGAGGCAGCGGAATGGGGATGACAGAAGCAGTCCATTTTAAACCGCGTCCCCCCTTTGGATGCGGCCCTTTTCCCAAATTCCTACACACACAGAAAGAGAGGGAGAGAGGGCGCGCAGTCTTGTCCCGTGTGCCCGTCATCCCCCAAATGCGGTGAAATTTACCCAACCCGCCCAGACACACACCAGCAGCAAAAAAAAAAAGAATTGCCACACAAAGGCGTTCCGGAATGACTGGGCCCTCGCCGTGAACTCACGCAGAGGGAGTCTTTCAGACGCCTCAGCAGCCGCCGCGTGGAATTAACAGCAACAGACGCAGCGGTGGCAGGAAGTGAACGCGCGTGGGTGAGGAGGCAACACAACAGAAACGAAAACCCCCTTCGCGTCGTCTTCCAGGCGCGTTCTCGCAGGGAGACAACTCAATCCACATGTAAAACGGCCCCAAAAAACGTCAAGAAACACTCTCCCATTTTATGTACGCTCATCTGGGGCACGCACTAGGCCCCCGCAATTTTCTGCCTTTTTTGCTGTCCGGCAAACACGTGCCTGTTTCTTTCCCTTCCCCAGAGAAAACTACTTCGTATTATTCCTTTTAATTTCACCAGTTGCGTTGTTTTCACTTTCCCCCATTCGTTATTTTCCCGCCCACGCTACGAGAATGGCTTCGTTTGCATCCTCCACATACATATATTTACGGCGCCCTCTTGTGAGTCCAACACGTACGGGGCAGCGGGAAAAAAATAAAAATAACAACAGTTCCGTCTTATTTATTTCTACCGCACGTGGTGCGACGACACGCCCCCCTTGCGCCTTTTGACCACACCGCCCTTGACGCGCTCGTTACAATTTGCAACTTTTCCCTCTGGATGCCTTTTTGTTTTCTTCACCACCGGAGTCACGGCAGCCCTCACGCCGCAACGCCAGTCGCCGCACATCGGCCTTTGCACAAACAGGTCGAGGGAGGATAAAATATGTTTGCTCCCGCCCTCCCTCTTTTTCTCACGCAAAACAGTCCCAACTTCCTTACATGAGGGCGATGCCAAAAAGAAGGGAAGAACAATACAAAAACAGAAACAAAAACAAAACGACCTCGCTGATTGCTGACTTATTTTTTTACTTTTTAAGCCGTCCCCCAACGCTCCCTATAAACAGGGGCAGCCGAAGAAAAAAGAGCGATAAAAATCAAAATAGAAGGCACAATAAAGGCACAACAAACGCGTATAATACACAACAAAGACGGAAATTAAAAAGCAAAAAAAAAGACTGCTAGAGAGGGCTCAGAGGACTGTGGCGCCTTGCGTGCTGCCAGCCACTGCCGCACATGCCGCCTCCCCTTGCAAGTGTGTTCGGCAGCGGGAGCGCCCACTGCCAGACGGCGGGATCGGCCGCGGAGTGAGCGGCCAAAGCAGCGCTGCACCGGCACCGTAAATGTCCCTCACTTTGTCGCCGAGCATGCATCGTGCAAACCGTTCAATTTGAAATGGGCCAGCGATACACACACACACATGCGCCAGAAGAAGTGCGTCAGCCGCAGACCGTGACGCGAGCAAAAGGCACCGCAGCGATCAGAATGACGAAAACACAGACGAGGATGAGGAAAACTGTGTTTGCGACACTTCTCTCCCAAAGAGTCATCGAACGGTCTTCCGGCACAGCTGCCGAAGCCACTCCATTTCACGGTGCACCGAGCACAGGGAACCACCCAGCAGAGAGACCGACGCACGCAAAGACAAATGTGCGGTGTCGGCCCATCGCAAAGGCACGTCCTCACTCCACAGCGCGGTCCGCCAATTCCTTCGCGTGCCTTCCTCGCGCCCTCCCATTGGGCTGTGCCTCGGGCACATCGCCGGCAACTGGCCCCTTAGACGAGGCGTTTTTGCGAAGTGGCATGTCGCGGCGCCAGACGGTGGTCACGCCATCCACCAATAAAAATGAAAAGTGCCGTTGCCGCAAAGGAAGAAGTAAAATCCAGCACGCACCGCCGCCGAGGCAACGCCTTCCAGCTGCGGCCCTGACCCCACAAGGAGCACTCCCCGCAGGAATCGAGGAACGAGAATTTGCCAAAGCAGCCAACCGGCCCCAAGATCCCCCCAGGTCGGGTTTTTGCGGGAATAGCGTGCATTACAACAGTAACCGGCAGCGCGGTGCAAAGGCGCACACCGCCGAAAACAAAAAAAAACAGGAACCGCAAACACGTACACGCCGGCAAAATACACTACTTTGTGTGTGTGGAGTCCATGAGTGGGAAGCTCATTGATGGAAAAGCTTCTCCCAAAAACAAACAAACCGGCCGCAGTCGCGGCGCTGGTCCAAGTAAAAACCGAAGGCTGCGAGAACAGTCAGAGTCATCAAGGCAGCGCCTCCCACTAGTGCACGCCCCAATTGATACAGGGTCACCTTCGCGTGCAGCTACCACGTTTCGACGCTAACGCCAACAGACTCCTGGCGGCTGCTGCCGCCAAAATAAGCGGCGCACCCACAGCAATCACGCCCGCCAAAAGGCGGCGTTGAGGGTGGAGTTGAGTACTCACTTTTCCCAACATCCGGAAGACATGCACGGGAATCTTGAACAGCCCCACAGCTCATCGTGTGTGTCCGAGCATTCTACCCAAAAGTTGTGCCGAAAGCGGGGCCAGGTTATTTGTCACGATGCAGCCGCACACACTCAGCAAGGCTAACCGGCACGGAGATGTTGAACTGTAACACCGTTGGAAAGCGGCGCACTGCAATCCTCGCCATGCTTGTCGCAATTGAAACCATTACGCACGACTTCTGCAGAGAGGTTGAGGGTTTGCGGGACGTTGAGCTCCAGTAAAGCCCTCCACAACAACCGGCGTGTGCTGGGTTGTGCCAACTAAAGGCCCCCCGAAGCCCCATCAGGGCAAGCAACCCCTCCACCTTTTCCAGTGAATCCTTCAAAGCAGCAGAGCCTTCAAATTTCAGGTGAACGCCGCTGGCAAATGGCAACCCCAGGCGCAGTGTTGGACCTGCACGCATTGAGGCATTGGCCCGCACGCCAAGGAAAGCCGGCGCCTCGTGAATGGCCTTCACAAGGTGCCACGCAGCAACGGCAGACCGCCCAGCGGTGCGGCTCCCCTCAACCAGAGGCGGGGGCGGTGCGGGCGGGTAGTCTGTTTGTTTTTAGGTTCCCCCCACCAAAAAAAAAGGAGGTAAGCCCGTGACGCAGGCGCCTTGTGGCACCCGATCCCCAATCGCACCTCTGAGGCCGTCCAAGAGCATTTGCACAACTGCGTCCGGCGGGTTGTGGTGCCAGGCGCTGCACAGAAACATAGAAAATACGCTCACCCAAGACGGCGCCGGTGCCGTGGCACGTGTCCCCCACAGACTTGGCAGTTGCGAGGTGCATGGGCGGCAGCTGTGCGTGGCCAAACAGCCGGGGGGCTCGCGAGGAGGAGGGGCCCAAGCCCACAGAGTGTTTGACGTCAGCCGGCCCTGTTGCCGCCGCATCCGTCACGATGGACCCCCGAAGCAAAAACAAAAGCAAAAAGGCGTATAGGGCAGGTGGCCTCACAAAACGGTGTGCATTACCCGCAGGGGCGGATGCATCTGCCTCATCTCCCACTGGACGTC